TGCTGGCCACATGACTCGGAAGCTGTCTGCGGACAAACGCCGGCTTCCTCGGCCTATAGAGCAAGATGAGCGAGCAACCCCAGAGTCAGTCACGACTGGCCCTCTAATGGTCAGGGGTACCTTTACCTTTACCTTTACAATACCAGCGGCACATATTCCAGGAAAAACTCGATGTAAGCTGTGTGAATTTGCTCCAGCGAGCTATACTAGATTGAAGAAATTAAACTTTCACGAAGCTTTATATTTTTATTCAGTTTGGTACAAAGCAATAATAAATGGTGTGGGGGGGTTATTTCCTCCCTTCCTCTTCTCCCCCTCCTTTTCCAATCAACATCCTTGTTAAGGAAAAACATTTCTCCAGGCATAGGCATATGTATGCCAGGTTTCTGGGTTATCAATAGAAAATGATATAAATGGATGCCATATTTCAGTAAAATTGCCTGAGTCCTGGTGTTATCTAATGCATTTATATGTTTAATCAACATATCAGGGCTATTGTCCATACCCTTTTTCCTCCACTGTGAGGTGTAGATGGGCCAGACTTTTCCAGTTCTGTGCAATGAGTTGTCAGGCTGCTGCGAAGCAGGAATGTTGCAAGTTCTTTATGGTGCAAATCCCTCTGGTCCTTGGTAAATCCAACTGCGCTGAGCTTTGTATTGTTTCTGAAAGGAAAATAATGTACATATGCATATCAAACAGTGAGGTGGGTATGCAGTGTAGCCCAAGGTTTCCTGCTTCAGCTCTGGCAGAAGTCTTGACCTTAAAGTGACTCTTGAATGTGTCCGACATTCCTTCAGTTATTACACGTTACTGCCGCAGATATAATTTAATATTGAAAATAGATGCCGATAGTGTTCACTAGCACAGAGGATGGACTCTTGAAAGAGGGAAAAGGGGGGGAGGTGCAGATGGAAAGGCCCTGGGAACTTTGGAATTTCTCTTTTCTTATAGATTTCGTTGGCATATAATACGTGCAAAGCGTCTTCTGCTATAACATATTCCATCCCATTGTGGCACATATGGTGCCTCCTGTGCAAAGGGGGTAACACAAGCCGCCTTATGTTAGCAATTAGACTGAAACCTAAACTGGAAGCGCCCCCCCCCCCATTTCAATGTTTTTAAGGATGCTGCAAAGAAAAAGCTCATCTTAATCAACAATGGGAGAGACACGTTGTCATAGGAGCCAATGCACACCATTTGAATGGCAATGCCCATTAGTGGGGGGGGGGCGGCCTCCTGATTATGTGGGTCAGGGCTCCCCTGCTCCCCTGCCCATATTTATTCAAGTTGGCACTCCTTGTTGTTGCTGTGCGTGCCTAAGCAGATGCCCACCACTCTTCTGCAGCTCCCTCAGGACAGGCTGTGCAAACCGGGCGGATTGCAGCCTGCCTTAGTGTCGTCGTCAGCTTTTTATATATATATTTTAAAAGACGCTCTATAGATGCTGCTGGCATCCCTGTCGACTCGCGTTTATTTTTAACCCGAGCTGCTTCCTAGCAGGCGGTGCCGGAGGAGGAACCGCCGCCCGGCTCACCCCCCCCCCCCCGCGCGCCCGTGATGCTGCTGCTGCTGCGCTTGTGGGCGGGAGCAGCCCTTTCTCTCCCTCTCCCTTGCCTCGCCTTTGCCTTCTTCTCTGCACTGCAGATGCCCCCTCCAGCCGGGAGGGAAGCGCGCCGGCCGCCTCTCGCCCCCGCGGCGCCCTCCTCCTCCTCCGCCCCCGCCATCATGCCTCCCCCACGCCTGGCCCTGCTCGCCGCCTGGCGCGTTTAAGGCTCTCCCCCGGGCGCCCGGAGCCCGGCAGGCCCGGGCATTGCGTCACCGGCTGGGAAAGCCGCGCGCTGCACCTGCAGCCCCGCCGGCTGCTGAGCTGAGGCGAGCGCGGCGGAGGCTTGGTCTGCGGCCCGGGGTCAGCCATGAGGCAGGACAGGCTGGCGAGCTCGCTGCGCCGGGGGGGACGCTGCCTCAAGCGCCAGAGCACCGGCGGGGGCGGGGTGGGCACCATCCTCAGCAACGTCCTGAAGAAGCGCAGCTGCATCTCGCGCACCGCGCCTCGACTCCTCTGCACCTTGGAGCCGGGTAAGGGCTGCCTGCTGGTTTGGCGCGCCCTGGAGGCCCTCGCTTTTCCCGCCTTTGTTTGAAAAAGCGGCCGCCGCGGGGAGGAGGGCATGTGGCGAGGCCTTTGAGCCGGGCTTAACCCGGGCAGGCTTTAATCGCTTAAGCTGCTGGGGGAAGGTGGGGGCGGCCGCTGGCGACAGGGAGCTGCGTGCGAGGAGATGCTCCTTCCAGACGCTCCCCAGAGACGCCGCAGGGGCGCAGATGGAGCCCTCGGGTAGGAAGCGCGCCCTCCGTCGGGGGCAATGGGCGCGCGGGCTGGCCGGGGAGGCCCCGGAGCGCCGCCGTCTCCTCGGCCCGGAGGGCGAGGCTCTGGCGCCGCCTTGGGCGGGGAGCGCGGATGGCTGCGGCTTGAGGAGAGCTCCTCCGGGCCTGGCATTGGCCGACAGGGCCAGAGGGAAACTGCGCCTCTGGAGTTGCGAGGCAGCCCACCGATTCCGAGCCCCTGGCAGGGGATCTCGTCGGGGCATCTCGCAAGGATGGTGTAGAGCCATCCAGCCCAGAGATGTCCCCTGTGAACGTCCTGGGAGCCAGGACGTCGGGTTGGTTGAAGGGTAGAGCGTCCCTTCGCTCCATCTGTTTTTCCACCTGACTCCTCCAGCACACGTGACTCTTTAGCACAGTGTCTTTGTTCTGGAGGCAATTCTTAGGTTTGTGCCTACAGTACCTATCCTGCACTTTGAAGACCAGGCCTATGGCGATGCAGAAGAATAGCTGAGGGAGAAGTGCCCTGATGCCCGGCCATCTGTGGTTCTTAAGGGTATGGAGAAAAAACTAGAATGGGGCGTATAGACAACCTCGGGAGGTATCCAAGAGGTATCCAATACCGACAGGTAGAAGAAGACTAATCCTCTCTCTCTCTCGAGTGTATATTTTATATAGAATCACAGAGTTGTAGAGTTGGAAGAGACCCTGAGGATCTTCTAGTCGAACCTTCTGAAATGCAGGAATAGGCAGCTGTCCCATACTGGGATTGAACCTGCAACCTTGGCATTATCAGCACCCTGCTCTAACCAACTGAGCTATCCAGGTGCTTGGAAGCATTGCAGGCAGGGCAGGGCTGCTGAAAGCAGCGATTTAATTCTTCTTGGAAATTTAAATCTCAATATTCAGACAAACCCAACTTTGTTGCCTGGCTGAAGCGAAGACACGTTTGTGGAGGGTACAAGGAGCTTGATGCAGATGCGTCAACAACCTTGCATCAAATGCAAACAAATTCCCTAGTAGTGATGACCTCACCTGTAGGGCCTGTATTGGAAAGACCGTTAAAGCTTCAGGGCTCCTTTGGTTATATTATATTGAAGTAGTTGGTGCGTGTAACACTATATCTTTCCTAGTTCAATATAGTTTGAAATTTAGAATGAATGGTTGTGTAATTGATTTGAGAAGTTGTCGTGTCTGGCCACCCTTTCATTTCTTAGTAATTGTCTTGTAACAGAAGCAAAGCCAATATTTCCAAAAGTTGCAGTCTTTTTATATTTCCCCATGTCTAAAGTGTCACGAGTTTGTTGTTATAACATCAGATGACAGTTCAGCACCTTAGCTTTGGACAGCAGCACTCTGCCATGTGGGGAAAGAGCCCTTTATAATGTACTTACAGTGGTACCTCTGGATGCGAACGGGATCTGTTCCGGAGCCCCGTTCGCGTCCAGAAGCGAATGCAAGCCGCACCTGCGCATGCGCGGGTCACGATCCGATGCTTCTGCGCATGCACGTGGCGTCATTTTGACCATCTGCGCATGCGCAAGCAGCGAAACCCGGAAGTAACACGCTCCGTTACTTCTGGGTCGCCGCAGCGCACAATCCGAAAATACTTATCCCAAAGCTACTTCAACCCGAGGTATGACTGTACATATTATGCAGCTTTTCTTAAAAAAAGAAAAGAAGTGCACAGCTTGTGCACGAAACTAGTTTCTTCTTGCACAAGGGCTGCTTAAAAGCAGATGGCCTATTGTCCTTAAGGCGAGTTTGACAAATCAGACTTCAATGAAGAAAGGGCATGAAACAATTCACTGTGATCCGTATGATTCCTTGGAAATGGATATTGATTAAATATGTAGCTAATTTGTTAATTATATTTTGGCTACAACTGGATACAAAAGGAAAGCTAATTGTGAAAGGTCGGAAATTTCTTTGGATGTCAGTATTGTAAATGTAGATTACGAAAGGTATTTGTGAGATTTTTCAAAGTTTAATTATCCTAATTATATGTCTCCCCATTTTTAAAAAGCTACGGGTGCAGTTTTATATCCACTTAATGGAGTAAGCTCCGTTGAACTTGATGAAAGTTTCTTTTGAGTAATGTGTATGGAATTGCACTATACATGGCTGATCTGGATGAAAATGAGTATCTAAATATCTACTTTGTTTTATGAAATTTGGATTTTTTTTAATGGCACTACTTGGAGAAGGCTGCAGATTGAACCTGGTACCTTCTGCATGCAAAGCAGATGCTATGCTTCAGAGCTGTGGCTTTTAGTCTTCTCACCTTCCTATCCAGCCCTCCCTTCTGCTCTGTCAAGTTTCATTAGCTCCTGTGAATAAGGGAGCTAAACACAGACATCTTGATTGCCGAACTGTCCTAGGGTACTGGCAAAGTGGGGCTGGGGGTGGGGGAGGAAAGCTCTGTTGAACCCAAGGTGTTTCCCTCCATGTGTAGGTGCTGTACCCACCCATTTTTGCCTAATGTGTTTTTACCTATTCTCTAGAGTTGTCTCTGACCCAGAGTAAATACCCAGTTTTGTATGTGGAAAATTGTATCATTACCATACGTTGATTTAGATATTTGGGGACATTCACATGTCACAATTATCTGATAATTTTCTTCTTTAATCCCTAAACCAATATTTTAGTAATTGGTTTCTTTGTTTTTTTATTTTACTGCATAGGAGTTGACACCAAGTTGAAATTTACACTTGAGCCATCTTTAGGTCAGAATGGCTTTCAGCAGGTAATTTATTATTTTTATTCATCTATAAGTTGCAAAAGGTCTTCTGAATGCATGGACAAATATTTATTTAAAATCTGCACTGGCCTGTGAAGTGGGAGTGTTATCCAAATGAGCCTATACAGTAATCACTTCCATTGCAATTGTACTTGTTACTAGTGGTGTTTTGATACCTCAACAGTTTCATTTTCTGTGACAACAGATTGTTCTATACGGCTAAGAAGCTAAAAGGATTAAAGTCCATTGCATTATTATTATTTTTGTGATTTCTAGAATATGAATGAATAATTAAACAGCAGATTAGTTTTTCCTCTCCATGTTGATCATGTCTATTTGGGTAACCGGGTATTTAAGTACTTGGTACTTAAGTTCATGGTAAATATATTAAATTGATAATGTGTTGCATGCCCAATTATGTTTCTGAACTGGAATAATCTGTCTCAGTGGTTATTTTTTAGTGGCACGATGCTCTCAAAGCAGTGGCTAGGCTGCCAACAGGAATACCAATGGAGTGGAGGAGAAAGGTGAGGAAAGCTCTAACCTTCTGTGTCCTGTGGATTTCAATGAGCATAACTTTCATTATTGGATAAACATCTACATGTTCCTTCTAGATTTAAGAATGAACATAGAGGTATTCTTTAGTGACCAGATTCATCTGAAGTTTGTAGTGTAAATTCAAAAAAGAAAAAGAAAAAAAGAAACCCAATCTTTGTGCCAGCGCTCATAACTTTGACAGATGATTTAATGCCTCAAGCTTGGCACTGGTGAAGTTATCTCAGTTCCTGGTGACTGATAGCTGATGAATTAGGCCAGTTGCTTTGTGAAGAGGGATAACTGCATGTAAAAAGAGTGGAGTCACTGCCTTCTTCTCCTTCAGGCTGCGCTCAGCAAGTGATAGCCGATTCCTGGCCCAACTTTACATCCTATGGAACAGGGCCAGACTTAGTAATGCTTAGATTATACACATTGAAATCAATGTAGCTTAAGTTAGTCAGGACTAAGTTAAGCCCCGTTGATTTAAGCGTAGTCTGTTCCATAGGCGCCGACTCCATGGGCCTATGAAGGGGCTCGAGCCCCTAAATTTTTTGGGGGGGCTCAGCCCCCAATAATCTCGGGCGCCGGGGGCGGCGGCTCCTGCCCTCGCTGCTTCGCAGCACCACCGCCACGCAAGCACTGCCGGGGGAATTTCCTTCTCTCCTGGCGGTTTTCAGCCCGCGGAAACAGGGAATTCCCGACTGGCCACATCCTCACCAGCAATCGCTGGTGGGGGGCCGTGGCTTTGCCTATTTAGGCCGGAGCACTATTTGCATATTCATGCAGCTTATTTATTATTCATGAGCTTCCCGGGCCCCCCCCAATATTTTATAAGTCCGCGCCTGGTCTGTTCTTAGCAGAAGTAGTGTGGACCAATTCTATACCTTGTCATATTCTGGCTGGCGTGCACTACGTAAAACACACATTCCAATCTTCTTCCTACATCTGCATTGTGGAGAGAATTGCTCGCATGAGTCATTGGTAACGTTTATGCAAATATATTAGGTAGCTGTGCCTTGAATTGGTAACCTATGAAATAATATGCAGTCTGCAGAGAATGCAGGATTTTGTAATAACTAAAAGGATTGCAACTCACTGTTCAGGTATTGGTCCAATAACTTTGAAAGCAGCACCTTAGCAACTGCCTGGGGTGAGCTTTTTTTAATATAAGAACGCCCAAAGTTGCTGAACTGCATCGCCAGTACCGCCAACCAACTCCTGTGCCGCCCTGAAGCTCCAATGCCGCCCTCCAATGCCCACCCCCAGTGACGCCATGCGGTCCCCTGCAGTGCCCAGGGCAGCCTTCTCCTGTCTTGCTATGCTACTGTTTGAAAGTTTGTTTGCATAGTGCTTCAGACTGATATGAACTTGTTGATTAGCTTTACTTATTTATAAACTATTCAAAGGAGGGATGACTCACAATTATTTTGTGGGGGTGGGGAATCTCTTTTGGGTGTGGGGTATAAATAATAAAATCATTATTTTTTATTATTTAAGGTCTGGCTCACCTTGGCAGATCATTACTTAAGGAGCATAGCAATTGACTGGGATAAAACAATGCGCTTCACTTTCAATGACAGAAGCAATCCTGACGATGATTCCATGGGTATTCAGATTGTAAAGGTACTTTAAGCAATTTTAATTAATTTATTGTTCATGGCTGTATATGTCTCTGCTTGTTTTTCTGAAAGTTACGTTTATATTATCAACGTGCAAGGAAATTATTTCTTTGTCCATTGTTCAAATAGATCAATGGGAACTGGTAACAGCTAGGAAGATTAATGAACTGTTAAACTTTTAATAATAAGACTGAGCTCTTCACCACTTCCAAAAGCAGGTTCTGTTTACCATGGAAGCTTCCAAAATGGCAAAAGGGAGCTTAGAATAAAGATTGGTCCTAAAATACTCCTTTATTAGCATTACTTTTTGAATTATTATGCTCATTGGCAAATTATCCCCCCCCCCGTGTATTTCTAGAAATATATGTGTCTTAGTCTTGTCAGTTCCACATTTCAAGGCCACCTTCCACTTGCAAAGTAGCCTATTATCATGTATGAACCACTCCCTACTATGGTGTTGTTCAAGGAAGCTTCTCATATTATCTACCTGACCCCTGACCTTTTAAATATACTGCAGCATGATCTGAATGTATAATTTCTTCATGGGTATCAGGTAGCCCTTGGTATGAATTCCACATTACAGGAGACAGTGTGGTGTATTGATTAAATCGTCAGGCTATGAACTGAGAGGCCAAGGTTGAAATCCCCTCTCAGCCATGAAGCTTTACTGGGTGACCTAGGGTCAGCCGCTACCTCTCAGCCTAACCTAACTCACAGGGTGGTTGTTGTTGTTGGGGGGGGGAATCGAATGAGGAATGTATGCCACCTCGAGCTCCTAAAGGTGGGATTTAAATGCAATAAAATAAAAATCACCACAGTGAACAATCCACGACTGTGGCGATCACACAGGGTCCCTGGATGTTTAACGGTCTGTTGATCCCTGTGCCACCACTGTGATTGCTTCCCCACTGCCACCAACCCGTTACTCTCGGGCAAAACACTGAGTCCAGACAGTTGTTAAAATTGAACCAAATAAATAAGTTTATTTTATAAGCAATAACAAGTTTATGGTTTCTCAGATAATATTCCTGTCAGTTTCTTAACTTTAGTTTCTTTACTGGCCTATACCTTCCTAATACAGTGGTACCTCGGGTTAAGTACTTAATTCGTATCGGAGGTCCGTTCTTAACCTGAAACTGTTCTTAACCTGAAGCACCACTTTAGCTAATGGGGCCTCCTGCTGCCGCTGTGCCGCCGGAGCACGATTTCTGTTCTCATCCTGAAGCAAAGTTCTTAACCCAAGGTACTATTTCTGGGTTAGTGAAGTCTGTAACCTGAAGCGTCTGTAACCTGAAGTGTATGTAACCCGAGGTACCACTGTACAGTGTAGCAAAGGGAAAACGATAATGACAAAAATGAGCATATAGGGTGGAATTTACACTAAGGCACAACAGAATATTCCCCCCTTTCCTCCTCTGTGCCTCCTATGTCTTTTGTAGAGGTTCTCTCCCAGAGAGCACAGGACCAAAAGAATGGCAGGGAAGTCCTGTTATTTAAGCAGAAGTCATTCCGGTCATGCAATTATATAGTGCAAGTCTGCATATTTTTCTAGAATTTTACATGTTGCTTTTGAAAGAGCAGCAGTGTCTACTCAAGATGTGGGGTTGCTGTATCTAATGTTTGTCATACTCCGAGTAAACCCACTGAATTTATTGGCCGTGGCTCACTTAATTTTAGTGGGTTTGCACTGAGTAGAACTTAGTTAAATGCAACACATAACTTGTGTGCTCATGCGCATGGAGACTAGTGCACTGTACATGCTCACTGGAACTTCTCCGCTGGTTCTAGAAAAAACAAATTCCGTAATTAGAGTTTTCTGCGTTTCCTTCAAATAGTGAACTTTTAAAATTGCAGTAGTTTAACGTTTTGAATTGCCGCTTAACATCATCCACTTCACTCCGATTTTCATTCTGCTCTTTTATAAGCCTTTGTTTGATTTAAAGGCATGCTTTTAAAGAGACAGATGGGACTTTGCAAGCTATCTGAAACCTCCCTTTGAATGTTAAAATTTACAGCTTGCCTGATAAAATGCACCTGTTCGGTGTTTGTTTCAATATGGCTAGAAAGCGCATTGCCTTCTGTCCCAGGGATGTCTTAATTTCTTAAAATTTTGTTACGAATGTTAGCTTCAGAATGCTGCTGCCTGTTGCCTTCACCCCAGGATGGCATTTATTCCAATACACCAGCATGTTAACTTGGGAACTAGGAGACAAAAGGATTAAGTAGCAGGCTTTATATTGCTGTTGCTTCTGCCCAGTACGATATTAACTGCTGACAGCAGAAAAGGTGTTTCTAATTTTCCATTTAAGAAATAATCCACTTTCTGCACAATGATTATTTTATTGCTATTTTATATTGACCGGTGGTAATTGCTTATTCAGTTAGCCTCCTTGAGCGTGTCAGTAGATAAAGGGTGTGGATACTGAATCTACTAAATTACTTCATATTGGAATTGGACATTTCCAGATTCCGTTCCATCGTGCAAAGTCAATTTAATTCAGGAAATAAAAACAGGGCTGACGTTAGATTGTGTGCTTGAATTTAACAATGTAAAAGCCCTAAAGGGAGCTTCTGCTGAGACCTTATTCCCTGCCCCCCCCGCTTTCTTTAGGATCTTCATCGAACTGGATGCAGTTCTTACTGTGGCCAGGAGGCAGAGCAAGACAGAGTGGTATTAAAACGTGTTTTACTGGCTTACGCCAGGTGGAACAAATCTGTAGGATATTGTCAAGGCTTTAACATTCTGGCTGCCCTCATTCTTGAAGTAATGGAAGGCAACGAGGGAGATGCTTTAAAAGTGAGTAATGCTACTGAGCAAGGTGTTTTTTTCTACCTGTATTTTGAAATTTTCTGTCAGAATAGTTCGGCAGTGGAGATGAAGTCCCCCGAAGCAGGGTGTGTGTGGGGTGTGTGTTTTACACAGGAATGCAGGGGATTTTGAGTTAAGTCCAGTCAAAGGCGATTATGGGGTTGCAGGGCACATCTTGCTTTCAGGCCGAGGGAGCCGGCGTTTGTCCACAGACAGTCTTCCGGGTCATGTGGCCAGCATGACTAAACCGCTTCTGGTGCAATGGAATACCGTGACGGAAACCAGAGCGCACAGAAACGCCGTTTACCTTCCTGCTACAGCGGTACCTATTTATCTACTTGCACTTTTGGGTGTGCTTTTGAACTGCTAGGTTGGCAGGAGCTGGGACTGAGCAATGGGAGCTCACCCCGTCACGGGGATTCGAACCACTGACCTTCTGATCGGCAAGCTCAAGAGGCTCAGTGGTTTAGACCAGCCTTCCTCAACCTGTGGATCCCCAGATGTGGTTGAACTACAACTCCCATCACCCCTAGCTAGCAAGGCCAGAGCTCAGGGATAATGGGAGTTGTAGTCCAACAACATCTGGGGACCCACAGGTTGAGAACCGCTGGTTTAGACCACAGCACCACCTGCTTCCCTTTACCTTTACCTTGAATACAAGTAGATAGAGAATTGCATGGAAATAATTTGTATTCAACCACAGTGATTCCGCAGAACCCTTACTAGCTGCTAGCCTTTTCTGCTTTGTTTTCAGATTATGATTTACTTAATTGATAAAGTGCTGCCTGACAGCTATTTTGTCAATAACCTCCGAGCGCTATCTGTCGACATGGCCGTGTTCCGAGACCTCCTGAGAATGAAACTTCCTGAACTGTCTCAGCATTTGGATACTCTTCAAAGAGCTGCCAACAGGGAAAGTGGAGGTAGATGCCTGCACAGATGCCTTCCAATTGTTTTCTTTGTTAGTTTTCTGTTTCTTTGCTCCTATAACATTTCTTTGCCCTGGGAGCTTTTAGAACGCATCTGATCACGAGGCTAAAAATATATATTAGCCTGTTTAAAACTTAATAAATGTTTGAGGTGAAACTAATTATTTTTATTATTTATTAAATTTGTACACCCGTCCTTTATCTGAAGGTGGTCCACAACATAAAAATACATAATGAGAACACAAAACACATAATGAAAACAAGAACAAAACAAAACCAATAACGTTCCCCGGACAAACACATTTAAAATGACGTAGAATGTTAATCAGCCAAAAGTCTGGTTAAAGAGAGAAGTTTTTGCCTGGCACCTAGTGATATGTAAGGAAGGTGCCAGGGGAGCCTCGCCGAAGAGAGCATTTTACATGTGGGGAGCCACCACAGAAAAGGCCCTTTCTTGTGCTGCCATGCTCTGGGTCTCTCATGGATGAAGGGCCTCAGATGATTATCACAGGGCCCTCATATATATTTTTTGTATCAGATTTTTTTAAAAATAGCAAACATGATCATAGTGAAAATATTAATAATTGTTCTAGTTGGGGTTACTGGTTTGAGATAGAATCTGTTCTTTGCTGCTGTGTTAATTTACATTTTTAAGGTATCTCCTGTATTTTTTCTTAAATGCTAAATTATGACTGAACTGCTTCAGAAAGACTTCTTGTCTTGAAAAGCTGCATAAGAAAGTTCATTAAATAACTGATCATCGCTACAAAGTTAAAAGACCCTAAGAGAGTGCTGGACAATTGGACAAAACATTCCATTGAAAATTGGGATACTACAGAGTTTGACATGCAAATACTGATACCTAATCCCACTTACTTGTTGTATTTGGGCGTTGCTTGCAGGCTTCCCATAAGCATCTAGTTGGCCACTGTGAGAATAGGATGCTGGACTTTGGCCTGATGAAGCAGAGTTCTTTTTATGTAAAAGAGAGGAAGAGATGGGTTGATGGAAGTAGAAATGCAAGTGTAACAGAGTTTATTGTTACACTCCTGATCCAATCACCTCCCACACCGCCGTTCAGTTTATGATACCAATTCAGATTCCAACATTAGTAAAAGCTGAGCAATGCTATTCCATAGAGGAATGTTGCTAGCATATTATCAATTGTGTTTGGCTTCCTTGGATCTAAAAATGAATGGATTGGAATCATTTGTTGTTACTGCAGTTCTGTATTTTTCTTCCTTACGGGTTGTGTTAAGATAAACACTTTCAGGGAATAGCTGTGAATCTGTTCTATCTTTTTCTGTTTCAGGCGGTTACGAACCCCCACTCACGAATGTCTTCACTATGCAGTGGTTCCTGACCCTGTTTGCTACATGCCTTCCTAACCATACAGTTCTAAAAATCTGGGATTCTGTGTTCTTCGAAGGGTCGGAAATTATACTGAGAGTAGCGCTGGCTATTTGGGCAAAGCTGGGAGAGTAAGTATACTTTCAGCCTACGCCTAAAGGAAATGATACTGAATAGTTGTTTGGAGGGTTGGTGGAGGGTTTGGAGGGTTGGTACTATATGAAATGGTATTGAAGTTCTGACAATGATGCCCATTCTTTTTTCCTTCTCCATCCCAGTTGACCCATATAGCGTGCTTTGCGATCCAACTATGTTACATACAGTTCAGTTGTGGGTTGGTGGTGGTGAGGCAGCAGCTGACATTGCTCCTAAAACATATCCCAGAAGTTGAATCGCCCTCCTTAGTGATTCATATACAGTCATACCTTGGTTCTTGAACAGAATGCATTCTGGGAGTATGTTCAACTCCCGGAACCGTTAGAAAATCAAGGCGCTGCTTCCGATTGGATGCAGGAGTGTCCTGCAGCCAATTGGTAGCTGCGGAAGCAGCGCCGGAAGATCGGCTTCCAAAAATCGTTCGAAAACCCAGAACGCTCACTTCCGGGTTTTGATCGTTCGGGAGCCAATTTGTTCGGGAGCCAAGGTACAACTGTAACTGGATCATGTACAACATTACATTCACCATATCGGCCCAAATATAAGCAGCACTTTTTTTCCAAATTCCGCCTATGCAGAATATAAGTGTGGCTTATATTTGCGACCTTTACATGGCACGGCTCCCCCCCGCCCCCCAGAGAGCAGACGGGAGCGTGGGGTGATGGCACACAACCCGTCCGCCGCTCCCAAACCTCCATCGGGGGAAAGGGGGAGAGGCCGTCAGCAAAGCAGCGGGCTCTCCCCCCTCCCAGAGAGCAGCACAGAGTGTGGGGCGACCGCCCGCAGCCCGCCCACTGCTTCTGCCTCCCCTGAACTGCCTAAGGAAGGGGGAAGGGGGGAAGGCCAGCCTAGGAAGCAGCCCAGTTATTTTCTTTTCTTTCTTTTCACCACTTCAATTTTAAAGCTGTGGCTTATTTGCGGGTGTGTTTTATATTCAGGCCAATACGGTATTATGTACAAGATTAATGCAACGGTTTATATACTGTGACGGTGTCTGGGACAGCTATCATGGCTTCCATGGTTTGTTTTTTTTTTGCTAATGTGAATATCGAAGGGACGCAGGTGGCGCTGTCGTCTAAACCACAGAGCCTAGGGCTTGCCGATCAGAAGGTCGGCGGTTCGAATCCCCGCAACGGGGTGAGCTCCCGTTGCTCGGTCCCTGCTCCTGCTCACCTAGCAGTTTGAAAGCACGTCAAGTGCAAGTAGATAAATAGGTACCATTCCAGCGGGAAGGTAAATGGCGTTTCCGTGCGCTGCTCTGGTTCGCCAGAAGCGGCTTAGTCATGCTGGCCACATGACCCGGAAAAACTGTCTGTGGACAAACACCTGCTCCCTCGGCCAGTAAAGTGAGATGAGCGTGCAACCCCCGAGTCGTCTGTGACTGGACCTAATGGTCGGGGTACCTTTACCTTTAATGGGAATATTATGGGGTTGGATCCAGACTTTGCTGCAGCCAGTGGAGAGGTATCTTTGCTAGTTGCAACCAGCACTACTTCCGACACTGTTTGGCGGGGTGGGAGTGAGCCTTCTGTTGAATCAGAAGCCTTGCATAGAGGGAGGATTCCTGTCCACAAAAGGCGGCCTCGATCCAACCCGCAAAATTTACACAGGCTTTTTGTCCAGGAGAGGCGCCCTCTAACTGAAGAGGAGGGGTGCTCACTATTTGCCAGGTTCCCCTCCCTCAAATGCAACTCTTGGTGTCCTCCTCCCCAAAATCAGCTCCAGAGATTTGAGGGACCCTTCAGAAGAGGCAAGGGGGAATCAGCAACAGTTCCTTCCCCTCCTCTTCCATTAGCAGAGGTGTCTGCTGGATCAAAAGCCCTTTTGTTGAATACAAGGGAGTTAATTGAATTCCACCCAGAGTGTTTGCAGCCCTTAATGAAAGTCTAAGAAACACCCTGGTAATTGAATAAACTAATTATATTCAAAGGATTATTTTTTTAAAAGAAGTGTGTTTATTTTGGGACAAGTTCTAACAAATATTCTAGTGGCTGTCAAGAACAGTTGATTAAAAAAGCTTAATAGCAAGGGCTTTAGGAATCATTTCCATCTCTTGTGAAGTACTTGAAAAAGCTTTCTGAAATAAAGTACTAAGACACATAAATTCAGATTTATGCTTTAAATAATAATAATAATAATAATACTTGGAACAACTCATTTCTTTTCCCAGTTAGTTACATTCAAAACAAAAAGACCCAGTCCTTTTGTGAACAAGTTTTTGTCATTGACTTCAAGGGCAATTGCAAGCAGAAGCCTGCTAGTTCAGCTGGAAAATGATTTGCTGGATTGCATTATTGCTTCTGATCTCCTCTTCTGATGGCCACATATTTTGCTTTCCTGAAGAGCCAGTTTAGATGCAAAAGCTGTCCCTGAAATAAGACAAAAAACTAATTAAGTGCTACTTTCTAAATGCAATTAACACCAATCATGATTTAAATTTTTCCATAATAGGCAAACAGTTTTCGTTTGACTTCGTCTTTCGAAGAACAATTAGATTTTTTTTTATGTCCCATGAGCAGAATTTGCTCATGAGATGTTTCTGTTGCTAGGGTAGGGTAGGCAGTTCTTGGTGATTTCCCAGTTCACCCCTGAAAGTCTGCTCTGAAAGGATCAAGAACGGTGTGGGAGGTTTGTGGAGGGCTGTAGAAGGAAGGGGAAAGCTGTGAACATTGCTCTCTGACTTCTCCTTACAGTTGTTGGAACCTCTGCTGGATTAGACTTCCTTCTATACAAAGAAGGAGCCCTTCTTTTCAAGGATGGGCAACTCAGAATCCAAGCCAAAGGCTACTTCTCCAGCTTGACATATATTGTTAAGACCCAAGAATAAACACTGAGCAGTGCAGTATAGCTGCAGTGAGGTATCCACAAATGGTACCTCTGTTAGGCATTACCATTATCTTCTCATATTTAATGCATTTCTACCTTTCCCTACTTCCATCTTCTAGCCTGAAAGCAACTCTCAGTGGTAGCTAATTGAGAGAGATATTTGTTCAGAGCCCCCAATGACTTCCATAACTGAGTGGAGGTATGAACCTATATTTCTCAGCAACAAGCCCAATGCTCTGGTTCCCAGAATATAAGGCAGAATAATGGATAATTCATTTCCTGCACTCTGGTGTTGGTGTTTCAGGCACTTCATATTTGCAGAAAACTGAAGGCAAATAGTTTCAAGACCATATAAGTTCTTTCAGATATTCTAGAGCACTGGTCTTTAACCGCTGAATTGCAACCCACTCTGGATGAATCCCTAGCCGGAATTAAGATTGCCAGGGGGAAAAATCAACAACCTCAGATATGCAGATGACACAACATTGATGGCAGAAAGTGAGGAGGAGTTAAAGAACCTTTTAATGAGAGTGAAAGAGGAGAGCGCAAAATATGGTCTGAAGCTCAACATCATGGCCACTGGCCCCATCACCTCCTGTTAGAAGGGGATAGAAGGGGAAGAAATGGAGGCAGTGAGAGATTTTACTTTCTTGGGCTCCATGATCACTGCAGATGGTGACAGCAGCCACGAAATTAAAAGACGCCTGCTTCTTGTGAGAAAAGCAATGACAAACCTAGACAGCATCTTAAAAAGCAGAGACATCACCTTGCCAACAAAGGTCCATATAGTTAAAGCTATGGTTTTCCCAGTAGTGATGTATGGAAGAGAGCTGGACCATAAAGAAGGCTGATCGCCGAAGAATTGATGCTTTTGAATTATGGTGCTGGAGGAGACTCTTGAGAGTCCCATGGACTGCAAGAAGATCAAACCTATCCATTCTTAAGGAAATCAGCCCTGAGTGCTCACTGGAAGGACAGATCCTGAAGCTGAGACTCCAGTATTTTGGCCACCTCATGAGAAGAGAAGGCTCCCTGGAAAAGACCCTGATGTTGGGAAAGATGGAGGGCACAAGGAGAAGGGGATGACAGAGGACGAGATGGTTGGATAGTGTTCTTGAAGCTACCAGCATGAGTTTGACTAAACTGCGGGAGGCAATGGAAGGCAGAAGTGCCTGGCGTGCTCTGGTCCATGGGATCATGAAGAGTCGGACACGACCAAATGACTAAACAACAACAACAAAGTAGGTCACAGCTTGATTCCAGGTGGATCACAACAGGTGCACCACCACCATTTACTTCTTAAGGGTATATGAAATATGATGTTGATCTGATGGTGCCACAGTTTCTTTTGCAGCATCCTGCAGTTCAGAGTCTCTTGTTTCCGTTTATATAGATATTATTTAGTTTGTAACCCAGGGAGGTAACAGTATATTGAAAACATAGGACCAGACTATTGAACTGTTGTCTATGTTTTTATACTTGAATATCTTTGGCTACTGAAATAGTTTTGCGTTGCTTCTAGAAAATACTCAGGTTTAGAACTGAGTGCTCAGGTGGAAAGGTTACATCCACCTCGGGTCCTCCTCTAATACAAGGACACAAAGATAAATTATGATGATGAAAGCCAACCTGATATTTATTTCAAATAGATCTTTGTCAGGGTCTGCTGTTGCTTATCTTCAGAAGCTCATGGTGAGATTGCAGTTTTCAGAGTTAAACTGGCAATCTGAAATAGAAGATGCTGCATGAATTCTAAGTCATGATCATTTTCATTCCTTTGAGGCACATGGACTGTTGCCTTGAATCACTATCTTGTTGTCCTTTCTTTGACCTCTCAAGAGCACCCTAAAGAGTTCAACTGTCTACAGATCAATCACATGCTTACTAAGAAAACATCACATTGAAGGGGGGAAATAATCATTCCTCTGTGGAAGTCTAAAGAAGGGCAGGAAAGCTTCAAAAGCAGCTCTCATCAAACTGGAACTGTGCAAATATTAAACAACTATGTCTCTAAAGTGTTCTATCTAAATTTTATCTAGGATGTACATGTGTAGAGACAACAGTCTAGCCTCTCCTTTAAATGGTACGGTTACTACCCTTTCCTTTGGAAATTTCCCAGGAATGTTTTTGGGACCCATTTACTGGCCTGCTACTTAATAACAGATGGTTCCCTTGCTGATGTAGAGATTAAACAAAATTTCACAAAACACTGACAAGTTGCATAGACACTGCAATAAGGAAATAACTGAACAGAAACAGGACTAGTCCTTTCCTTCCTACACTTAAGGTTGAAGTCCTATCAAACATTTGGTAACGCTTCCCTCTCCTTTCCCTTCGCTCTGTGTGCTGAAATTGCTTCCTACTCCCAGCATAGTTACTCAGTGTGATCATACTTCATCGTAGATTGCTGGCTTTTAAAGGGCGATTGCTCCCTTTCTAAACTACAAAATGGTTTGAATCACTTTCAGTTGCATTACTGAATTAGAATCTTCTTTTTTTCTTCTTACCGTATTAGTTCAAATTTTATAAGTGTTCTGTTTTTTATGATTTTGAGCTGCTTTGAGGAAAGTGGCGTAAGAAATAATGTAAATAAATAATCGCCACAGAGTAAATCACCCAAATAGGGTGCTTCGTTGGACGACTCATTCCCCTGAACACTGGGATACTTTCAAGTGTGACAAAGAAATAGTGTTGTATTTTCACTTTTTATGTTTGCATGATGCTGAAACACAGATTAATAGCCTGTTCTCTAATTAGAGCTATTTGTGGATATCTGTCTACTAATATCACTAGTGTTAAGCTGTTTATAGCTGTTTATGTGTGTCCCCCTCTCTCCAAATAACTGATTACGCACTCTATATTTACTCAGAAATATAACATGTTGTTTAGATAATGGAAATGTTTGTGTTGCGATGCAGGCAGATAGATTGTTGTGAAACTGCGGATGAATTCTATGGCACCATGGGAAAGTTAACCCAAGAGATGCTGGAAGGCGACCTGATTGATAGCAATGAACTCATGCAGGTTAGTAAGTATGAACTACATTAAGGTGAAACTAGGGTGGAATAAAGGGACGTGGGTGGTGCTGTGGGTTAAACCGCAGAGCCTAGGACTTGCTGATCAGAAGGTCGGTGGTTCAAATCCCCGCGATGGGGTGAGCTCCCATTTCTCGGTCCCTGCTCCTGCCAACCTAGCAGTTCGAAAGCACATCAAAGTGCAAGTAGATAAATAGGTACCGCTGCGGCGAGAAGGTAAATAGCGTTTCTGTGCGCTGCTCAGGTTCGCCAGAAGCGGCTTAGTCATGCTGGCCACATGACCCGGAAGCTGTACGCTGGCTCCCTCGGCCAATAAAGTGAGATGAGCGCCGCAATCCTAGAGTCGGTCACGACTGGACCTAATGGTCAGGGGTCCCTTTACCTTTATCTTTAGGATGGAATAATCTTGCTCTGGTTGGACAAAGCTCACGTTTTTTCAAGGTATTAAAAATATCCGAAAGGGACACTGTAGCTCAGTGGTAGAATACCTTCCCTGCATGCAAAGGTTTTCATATTCAGCCCCTGGCATCTTCTGTTAGGATTGAGAAAGACTCCTTTATAGAGCTGCTGCCAGTAAGCAAATATAGTATGAGCTAGAAGGTCTGACCCTGTATAAGGCAGCTTACTGGGTTCCTGTGTTCAGAAAAGGAAGAAAAAAAAGTTCAAAAATTATAAAGTGTTCTCTGAAATCTAATTGAAGCAGAGTGTTCTATTACTGTTAATAACAAGTCAACCTTGTACAGTTCGCTTTTCATCCAACTTTGGCAAGAACTTTAAAGACAGGGAAGGAACCTTATGAATAATGCAAATGTGCTGTACTTTTAAAATACAAAGCGGTGGCTGCCCACATAGCTCTCGAAATAGGTTGGTACAATACTGAGAAGAGTGCAATGAATGTCAGTATCAAACTGCTTCCTTCTCTCTTATAAATTGCATTTCAATGATTGGTTTGATGTGTGAATTCAAGATATGGGGCAATATTCAACTAAGTTTTACTCATGGCAGACCTGTTGAAATTATTGAGCTTTTGTCATCCATGTTCACTGATTTCAAGGGCTCTGCTCTGTGAAAAACTTAGTTGAACTGCATTTGTTATAATAAAGCTGTTCCAGCTCAGAGAGGTTCCGGGTTTACAAAGGTATGAGTCATTGTGGTATAGTGGTCAGAGTGCTGGAATTGAACCCAAGAGACCATGGTTTCAATCCCTACTCAGCCATAAAGCTCCAGTGGGTGACCTTGGGCCAGTTTCACTCTCTAAGCCTACCTCACAAGGTTGTTCTGAGGATACAGATGGAGAGAAGGAGAGCCATGGGTACTACCTTAAGCTCCTTGGAAGAAAGATGGGATAGAAATGTAACAATAAGGAGTAAGCATGGACCAATGGTACCAAATAGTATGGGAAACAGCCCTACTAGAAAAGTTAACCAATAAACTGAAACTGACACGGGGACAAACAGAAGAAGATGCCTTTACCCTGGTATGGCTCCCCTTTATCACATACACAGCCCAACAAGACAATGACAATAATCCACCAACAGCATACAAATCAATATGGCTAACCTGATCCAAAACACCCACCCACCCCACTCACACACGACAACAAAGATCACCACAGCCAATCACAAACAACCAACCACACCCTGGGCCAACCCCAACCTCTCTCACCACCAAAGGAACACGAGTGAACAGCACAAGCAACGCCGACACCAAACCCTACATACATTAAGCATAACAGAAACATCGCCACCCGACCCCACCCCCACCCATCTTCCCTCCCTCCACCCCTTCTTTTTTCCCCTCCCCCTAATGTCTCAACAAATGAAACAGATTTGTAAAAATGTTACATGGAAAAAATATGAGAGACATTACACTTACTTCTGTAAAACAAGAAAATCTTTAATATTTTTTTTAAAAAGAAATGTAACAATAATAGGCAGATAGCATTGAGTATATGGGACGCGGGTGGCGCTGTGGGTAAAAGCCTCAGTGCCTAGGGCTTGCAGATTGAAAGGTCGGCGGTTCGAATCCCCGCCGCGGGGTGCGCTCCCGTTGCTCGGTCCCAGCGCCTGCCAACCTAGCAGTTCGAAAGCACCCCCGGGTGCAAGTAGATAAATAGGGACCGCTTACTGGCGGGAAGGTAAACGGCGTTTCCGTGTGCTGCGCTGGCTCGCCAGATGCAGCTTTGTCACGCTGGCCACGTGACCCGGAAGTGTCTCCAGACAGCGCTGGCCCCCGGCCTCTTAAGTGAGATGGGCACACAACCCTAGAGTCTGTCAAGACTGGCCCGTACGGGCAGGGGTACCTTTACCTTTTTAGCATTGAGTATTAAAGGAAGCCTGCCTTCGGCCATGTAAGATAGTCCACCAAGATGCTTAATAAATCACCTATTTTTTGCTGTTTGGGGGAGGATTTTTTTAAAAAAGGAAGGTACAATATATGGCTGTAGTGTTATGTTCAGGTTGGTGGGCTATGGATATTGGTTCCCCCACCCACCCAGAAGTAGCCATATCAGTCTGTTGCAGCTAAAAGAGAAGGGGACAGGAACGCATAGTTCTGTTTATAACCTAAACCTCTGGAAATTAGCAACATGCAGAAAAATAATAATGGTACAATTTCATTCAGAGGTTTCATATGGAACAGATTTCTATTGACATAAAGGGTATAAATGATTTTCTGCTACAACTCTTCTCCCAAAGGATAGGATTGTAGGAATATAGTAACAAAGCAGGTGAAAGTGATCAAACTCCAATAAGGGGGGGGGAGAGATGTGGGGGCTAGGTGCAGTTTTGTCTGTTCCCACGCTTGCCAGGTGTTGTGCGGACTCGCAAAACGAAAGAGGTGTTTTATGTTGTTGGAGTTTTTGTGCACACTTCTGACTGAGGCAAAAGGAATCTCATCTCCAGAAGGGCTTAGTGTTTCATTGCTTGCACTGCATCAGGGCAATGTGGTGTCCCGTTTCCCCACCACCACCTTCAGGCAAGAAGTATAGCATCAGTTTCTATGGTAGCTTTTGTTACAGATAGGTAGCCGTGTTGGTCTGCCATAGTCAAAACAAAAAAAATTCCTTCCAGTAGCACCTTAAAGACCAACTAAGTTAGTTCTTGGTATGAGCTTTCGTGTGTATGATCGTATCTGAAGAAGTGTGCATGCACACGAAAGCTCATACCAAGAACTAACTTAGTTGGTCTTTAAGGTGCTACTGGAAGGAATTTTTTTTGTTTTGACTATGGTAGCTTTTGTGTATTAAGTACAGGCCAAGCATACTCACTCATTCTTTATTCATTCATTCAGAAACGCGCCTTAATTGAGAGACTTTTGCCCTGTGCTAACGCTCCCAGAGAGTGCATATGGCAGCACTTCTTTTTTGGCAAAGCAGACGTTTGTGATTATTTCCACCCTTTGTTCACTTTCTTGCTTTTGTGTCACGGTAGCAATAAAGAATTCTTCCAACATCTGTTAGTTCATAATTTCTGTTTGGAGTGGGTGCAGAGAGGACAGAAGTTGCAGTTTGGCAACATCCGCAGGACCATAGATCAACCACACTTGCAGCAGAGATGGTTTAAATTTGCACACACTGCCTTGAAAACAAATGCCTTAGAATGCAGAGAATGCTTGCGTTTGCGCGAGTTTTGCATGCATGTATGTCCTTGTTATCTTTTCTGCCTGATTCAAACAGTTCTCTTAACATTTCCAGCGAGACAGTCGTCTTCTTTCCTGAAGGAAATGTACCGTATTTTTTGCTCTACAAGATGCACCAGACCATAAGACGCGCCTAGTTTTTGGAGGAGGAAAACAAGAAAAAATAATATTCTGAATCTCAGAAGTCAGAAGAGCAAGAGGGATCACTGCGCAGCGATCCTTCTTGCTGTTCTGGCTTCTGGGATAGCTGCACAGCCTGTATTTGCGCCATAAGACGCACACACATTTCCCCTTACTTTTTAGGAGGGAAAAAGTGAGTCTTATATAGCAAAAAATACGGTATGTTCCATCACAAAAAACAAACATTTCACCTTTCGTTTCAGTACATGAGGAAATATATTGCCTAATCCTGCAGCCATCCTTTATTTGAGTTATGTACAGGCGCTTTGAAAGTTTAAAAGAAAAGGCACCGATTTTAAAAGCTTGTCTCTTTCTTTTTGCCCCCTAGACTGTTTATTCTATGGCCCAGTTCCCTTTCCCACAACTAGCAGAATTACGGGAGAAATATACATACAACATTACTCCTTTTCCTGCCTCAGTGAAATCAGCTTCAGGGTAAGTCTGTCCTCACCTCTTGCCAGTACCATATATTGTAATCCAGGCAAGATCTGTATATAAAAGGGACAAATGTAGAGGATTATGTATCTTGAGCCTGGTGAACTGTTCAGTTTATTATAGATACATTTGCACGTCCAGGTCAGCAATGTGTCTGTGTGCTTTCCTTTTGCAGATGGCTGGGAAAAATTAGAGACAGTGATGAGGAGAACGACCTTGATGATGAAGATTCCATAGCTAATGTCATTGGTTGCCTTGGGCCATTCAGTGGGTTTCTAGCCCCAGAACTACAGAAGTATCAAAAGCAATTCAAAGGTAAAGAATGTAAACATTACAGCATCACCATAGGAGCCTCTTTCCCCCATGGGTTTATCTTGCAGTTCTGCTATGTAGTTTAGAGGCCGGCAGATTACCATCCCTGGGCATCAGCCCTTAATCAAATGCTTGAAGGGACTAACCATGCCATTCCGTGGGCTTTGAGAGGTGGGTATAGGAGCATTTGATTAATATGGCTCATTCCATCTTTATCTGTATTGGATTTAAAATGGTTTTTACATATGTTTTTATTACTGATTTTTTAAATCGTTGAGTCACATTAGGCTGTTTCATAGGAAGTGCTTCATAGGTAAAATATAGCTGCCTCTTTGGTGCTGATGGCAGTACAGTGGTACCTCGGGTTACATACGCTTCAGGTTACAGACTCCGCTAACCCAGAAATAGTGCTTCAGGTTAAGAACTTTGCTTCAGGATGAGAACAGAAATCATGCTCCGGCGGCACGGCAGCAGCAGGAGACTCCATTAGCTAAAGTGGTGTTTCAGGTTAAGAACAGTTTCAGGTTAAGTACGGACCTCCGGAACAAATTAAGTACTTAACCCGAGGTACCACTGTACAATCAAACCTCGGCTCCCGAACGGCTCCATTTCCGAACAGTTCGGCCCCCGAACACCAAAAACCCACAAGTAAATGCTCCGGTTTTCGAACATTTTTCAGAAGCCGAACGTCCGGCGCGGCTTCCTGCAAGTGCAGGAAGCTCTTGCAACCAACCAGAAGCCGTGATTCAGTTGTTGAAAGTTTCAGAAGCCAAATGGGCTTCCGGAACAGATTATGTTCGACAACTGCGGTTTGACTGTACGATAGAATGGTATTTTATCTCAGATATAATGTGACTGGGCCCACAAGTGAGCAATTAGAGAGGAGCAGTGTATCCCTTCCTTAACTATGTTCCGTTCCCCACCCCCATGATGGCTTGCTGTGTACTTTTGAGAACAGCGTTGCTATGTAATATTCAAAGTCACATCAAGATGAATATATGGTAATTTTTTTGTTGATAGTTCCTGAGGGTTTAAGTACAGGCCGGTAACAGTTTCATGTTGACTACTGCTGATCTTTTGAGATTTTAAATTTGCCAGCCTTTTAAATGCAAGTACAGACGATGCCAGGTTATTGAAATCCTCTGCTCATGTAAGGCAGGGATGGGGAACCTGTGCCCTCCAGGTGATTTTTGGATTGCGGCTACCTTCACCCCCAACCAGCATTGCCAGTGGTTAGGGGATAATGAGAGCTTATAGTCCAAACAGCATCTGGAGGGATACAGTTTTTCCTCCCCCGATTTAAGGACGGTGGGGTTGCCATTATGTAATACATTCTGATGTGTTTCTCATGGTCTCTTCCTACTATGCATAGATCATAATGAAGAGCAGAGTCTAGGTTCCAGCAATATTGCAGAGCTAAGCCCTGGAGCAATAGATGCCTGTCGGAGCGAATACCACGCCGCTTTTAACAGCATGATGATGGAACGTATGACCACAGACATTAATGCGCTGAAAAGGCAGTATTCACGGATAAAGAAGAAACAGCAGCAACAGGTCCATCAGGTGTACATCAGAGCAGGTAAATTGCTTGTGTTAGCTTCAGCTATGTGCATGAGAAAGCAAACCATGTTTTTGTGTATTCATTCATATATAGAAGACGAAAAGAATGAAATAGTTGGAAGGATCTCATCTGACTAAAGAGCATGTCACTTATAAAGACGATGTTGATCTTTGTTTTTCTTTTGTTAGGGTCTGAAGATGATGACCCTGGGATTATGTTAGATCCCAGGGACCAGCCGAATAATGGTATTTAAAGATATCTATGCTAATCTTGGATACAATATTGGTTTCTCTGATTTTACTAACAGCTCTGGCATCCTTGGACTTGGGGTCAAATGTTCTGAATTCCCAATTGGATGGACAGTGATTTGGCATCAGAACTATCAACACATTACAAGATTATATATGAATTGGCTGGGCTTAGACCAAATACGTTTCAATGCTGATTTAGCATAAAGTGCACATACAGTCACTGCTGATCAGTAAATACTCTTTGTGACAGTATTATCTGTGGGATGAACCATTTGGAAACTGAACTTTCACTTTACTGCTAGAGATGGGTCTTGCCTCCTAACAGTGGTGAGGTAATATGAGGAATCTTATCCCACACCTGACAGTACGGCCTACCTGTCCCAGGCTGGATTTTCAGCTCCATCTTTCATAGGAAATACCCCATGAAATGCAATTTTGAAAATCTAAGAAATATAGTATGCACACAACAGCCATGTGGCAAAACCAAATTGATGAAGGTTTTCATTTCCCAGGATTGCCAAAGCCCCTTTTCACTAACCTTAATCAATCGTCTTGTATATATCCTTTAGCACTCTCTCTCTCGTCTCTCTGTGACTGGATATTCTGCTGGGAAATGGTCTGTCTTGGTTACCATATTAAATTGCTGAATGTTCTTTCTATGAAATGGAGTATTTACCCAGCTGCTTGGTTATAGACACCTTTGTGTTGTCGTCAGGACGAGGCAGAGGCAGAAGGCAGAGTCTAGCATGCTATTCACATGATTTAGTAGTTAAACTAAATCAACCCATAGTATCTAATCCATCAATTTATTCATCTGTTGTGTATGTGTATAGCTTCGTAATATATTTAATTTCACATTCTTGCTTTCTTTGGTCTTTATTGCCTTGAAAAGAAGGCTTGGGTTAGGATCTTCATTTTTATTTGCTTGGGATAGGTGTCAGAGAAATTTGTAAAGAGGATCACTGCTGCTCAGTCAAACATATCTGAACTGTAACTTCAGTAGCAGAGTCACATAATCCTGACTGAAACTCTGGAGAGACACTGCCAGTTAGTGTAAGTGCTGAACTAGATGAATCAAGAGCCTGATTTGGTATTTGTAGCTTCCTATGTACCAGATGTTGGGATGCGGGTGGCGCTGTGGGTTAAACCACAGAGCCTAGGACTTGCCGATCAGAAGGTCGGCGGTTCGAATCCCCGCGACGGGGTGAGCTCCTGTTGCTCGGTCCCTGCTCCTGCCAACCTAGCAGTTCGAAAGCACGGCAAAGTGCAAATAGATAAATAGGTACTGCTCCGGTGGGAAGGTAAACGGTGTTTCCGTGCGCTGCTCTGGTTCGCCAGAAGCGGGTTAGTCATGCTGGCCACATGACCCAGAAGCTGTACGCCGGCTCCCTCAGCCAATAAAGCGAGATGAGCGCCGCAACCCCAGAGTCGGTCACGACTGGACCTAATGGTCAGGGGTCCCTTTACCTTTTATGTACCAGATGTTTTCCCTTTAAAAGTAAATAAGTCCTACTTACCGGATGGCTTTCTTAGTTTTGAATCAACATTTTCCTTGCTTTCTTCAGGCTGCTAGATGCTCTGTTTCTTGTTGCATTTCCCCCCCAGTCAACAGAAACTATGGAGCCTGCTATTAAGAAAGAGAGAGACATGAGAAGCACATGGTCAAATATCTGAGTCAGTTTTGGATTGGAAAATGCAGTGTATAGCAGGGATAGAAGGAACTTTCAACTTTTGTTCCCTTGGTTACTCACTTTTCTATTCTTAAATCATGTCCTCTACATTTCTGTAGCAATCTGATTCATGAAAACTGATCAACATTTTAATGCAAATTTCTTCCAATGAACACATTTTGATAATCGGTTTTGACCAATGCACACATTTTTGCAAGACATTTCCCCTCATATAATGCATTTTATGTCATTTTCACTGATACATATTAATGTTCATGTGGACTTTCCCCTAATGTAATACATTTTTTAAAATAAAGGTTGATTGGAGAATACTACCACAAAATTCAGATAAGTGCTAATTTTGAGGGGTAGCTGTGTTTCTGTTCTCATATAATTTTCCTGAAAGTGCCAATTTGATTGATAGATCTGCATTTAATTGCAAACTTAATTTAATTTCTCCCCCACCCGTATGTGTGTGTGTTTGTGTATCAGACTGGTCAGGTTTGCTTTAATGTTTGATCGTTTGCCTTGCCTCATTCAATAGCGTGCTTCTTAAATGTTTGTTTTCTTCAGATAAAGGACCAGTTACTAGTCTTCTGCCCTCTCAAGTGAACCATTCTCCAGTGATCAACCACCTTCTGCTAGGAAAGAAGATAAAGCCAACTAACAGGTCTTCCAAAAATGCTATTATTCATGTTCCAAATCACGCAGGAGGCAAGATGTCACCTAGTCCCCACGAAGATCTTAAAACAAAGCTCAACTCTCCTTGGCGCACTCACATTAGGGTGCATCGAAAGAATATAGCAAGAGCCAAAGGCCAGCTGGGCTATGGAGATACAATAGGGTTAATAGAAGAGCAGAATGAAGGTGTGAAAACCAGTAGCCCCAATGGGAAAGAAGAGGCTCCAAGCAAATCTGAATCTATGGAAATCGAAGGCAGTGATTCAGATGCCCGGACTGCTGAAGGACAGTCTCCTGAACCAAGTTACAAAGATGCCAATGCCAACGTCAACGTATCAGCTGTTCAGCTGAAGCTCGAAGCCCTGGAACTTACCCAAAATGACAAAGATGATGTTGAATCAGTATCGACTTCGTTCTGTCAAACACCTCTATCCGAGTTCCCGAATTCGCCCAGTGACAGTGGGACAGTGGCAAAATCTCCCCAAGCTGCCACTGCTAAATCACAAGTCTTCAGTCCTTTTCCCAGTGTCAAACCTCTTAGAAAATCAGCTGCGGCCAGAAACCTAGGATTGTATGGTCCAACCGAGAGAACCCCAACTGTACATTTCCCACAGATGAGCAGAAGCTTTAACAAGCCTGCAAGCGGTAACAGCGGGTCAAAAAAACGATGATGTATATATATCGCTGGCGCATCATCATCATCTCAGTTTTTATGACGTGTGTGTTCGTTGTTCTGAAGGAGTTTCTGAATAATTTCATTTCTTAATTGAAATAAGGAAGATAAGTCGCAACTGGAACATAAACTGTATGATCAAAGATCTGTCTTTTTTATATATATAACGTGGAGTAGTGAAAGCACACAGTGCCACATACAGTTTTCATGTTCAAAAAATGAACATTGGCTTTCAGTAATGAGAAGCTGTAACACGGCATTCAGTAATACAGTGGTAGGACAGTTTCCCCCCTGTCAGTTCATCAAGAAGACTACCACCTTTTATGGTTCAGTGGCTAATTAGCAGAGCCTTGTAGCTGCCTCAATGAAGTACACTGGACTTCAAAATTTCAGGCAGATTAAAATATTTTTTTAAAAAAACTGCTTCTGTATAATATATACAGAATATATTTGAGCAGCTGACACATTAGCTGTGTTTTAGCATTTTCCACTCGAATGCCACTGGTGTTACTTCTTTTAATTATTTTTGATATAATAATTATCACCTTAGGTCAGGTAAAAAGGGAAGTTGAAATGCTTTCTATGACTCGATTGTGGCTCCCTAAATGATGACCTTCAGTGAGTCATGGGACTGTTGGAATATATATTTAAATCTGTTAGTTAATTTATCACTAAAATTCCTAGAAGTATCTGGCATTAAAGACAAATCTTCCTTAGCCTTTATGATAAGGTTAAGTCACTTTTCATGTTAACTGCTGGGCAGTGTTGTTCCACAGTGTATGTTAATTCCCTAATGTGTCAGCTTCCCAGCTGAGGAAAATTTATGGCTGTATCCTGATGATGTAAGATCGTCTTTAGTGTACTACTTAACTTTTTTCGGCCAGTGAAAGTTTTAGCAGTTTCCTGCAGATCTTGTCCCTTGCTTCTACATTTGAAGTGAAATGATCTATTGCCTAACAAGCTTCAAGAGATTAGAGGTGGTTATCACTATGGTGTATTATCATGTAAACAATTGTTAAAATTCCAAAACTTGACAGTCAGTATGGAGAAAGGGGTCTCCTGTTTCTCGGTCTCCTAAACACTGTGCAATCCCCCGCCCCCTTTCTAAAACATAGAATACTGCTGTGTAATAGTTTCAGTGTTCAGTGGGAATTAGTGAACAAACTAACTGTGTAGGCTTGGGGAAGTTACAAACTCTGAAACAGTTTTAGATTTGTAAAATGAAGAGTAGGAGCCTACCTCACAGGACAAATGTAAGGACTATAAGTGCTGTGCAAAGTTAAGTGCAATGAAAAATAGCATGTGCTGCCATAACAACAAGAGTCATTCTAGGGTAATAGACAGAAGTCCATTATCTACAGAAGATGCTGTCTATATCTATCCTGTTCACAATAGCTGTGAGCATTAAGCCTAGGTGCTTGAAGGAAGAGTACACTGATGATGAATCAATCCTACTTACAATTTGTGGAGTTCTCAATTTGTGGAGCTCCCAAGTCTACACAGTCTTCCATTATCCTTTCGTTGAAGTTCTCTGAATGGGATGCATCTCATCCTGCAATCCACAGTTGGTTCAGGAAATGTATAACAACAAGAATCCTCCAGGCTTCTCTAAGTAATAGCTCTTAGGCTGCAGTCCTGAACAGACTTACCTGGAAAGTAGGTCCAGTTGAACGCAGTAGAACTTAACTTCTGAATAGACATGCATGCGATTTGGCTGAATGTGTAACTCTTATGTTTTCAGTGAACAGATAAGCCAGCAGACGAATAAAGGATCAGTGAAGAATCTAAAGTATCGTGCACCTAGATTGCTAACAAGTTTTGGTTTTCCCATGATTTCTGAGCAGCAGTCTACATGCTTCATTGCAAGCCATTTATGAACAGTTTGTGATATGGCGCTAGGTGGGCGTACTTTTAAAAATCAAAATCAAAAATCCTACTGTGTTGGCTTGTCCAATGTACTTCTTTGGGCCTTAGCTGCTGATTCTCCAGTATCATATAAAAGGCATAGGAATTTGGTCCTCAAAACACTGTCCCAAAACCAATTTGGATTTCAACTTTATTTTGGAAATCTCTGTAGTTTCCTACCCTGAAAGACAGTTATGTCCTTCGCCGTGTGAATTTTTCAGAGCTAATATTTTGTCCACATTAAATATTTCTGTAAAAATGATTTCCCCCCATTCCTAAAAGAGTAATGAAAGCAGCTAAAAACTAATCTAAAATTATATCCAAGGTTAGCAATTTGCAAACCCATAAAGCATTCTGAAATTGCTTGACACCCCATTTACTCCAATGGAAAGCACTAGAGGGAATCTTATCTGGGGTCTACCCTGTGCATGCACACAAGACATATCAGAGCTGCCTGACGCTGAGGTCAGTGTCTTATGTGGAATTCTGCATGGGTACTAGAGCCCTCCCCTGTCCCTGCACATCAATAGGAGCAGCTAGTTTTGGCATGGTGTAGCTACCTTTACATTATGATGACAGGTAGTTCTGGACCCATCACCGTTGCCACCTGAGTGATGCCGGTAAGAAACTGAAATAACTACTGGGTCTGCCTGCCTTTTGTGCGCTGTGATTTAAGATGCTTTGGTGTTAAACTTTGTATCTTTGATGTATACAATGTACTATAGATATTGTAACATTATAAATATATACAGGATAATATATACAGGATGTATGAAATGGTGTCTTTGTCGGAGAAGTTTTATCTGTGTTTGTGTCTGAGTCTAATGGGTATAGTTGATGCCATTCTCTGTCTTGTGGATTAAATAGGGCTTGCCAATAATGCATTTTAAATATTAATAATAATGAGCTGCCTCCAATTTCTTGCAGTAAGGCAAGGTTTCCAAATCTCAAATATTTTTAACAAAACAAAAATGCACAGCCCATGATTATCCATGCTGTGTGCATGATCTGCAAATGATCTCTTGTAGATAAATAATTGAATCAGGATGCCTTTCTAGTGTACAGAATACACTAGATGATATGATATTGTAAAAACAACACCCCCCTAATTACTGTGCCTGTGATGAAATAGAAACCAGTTCCTTTGCAATGCTCTCAACAACTTTAGAGTCTCATGAGCACATTATAAGAATGCATTGAAATGAATCATCCGTGCAACTTGTTCAGAGGTGATCCTTGTGAGCTGATAAGCTGTGGGGGGGGAAGTATCACTGTTGGTCAAAGCAAACGGTTGTGTACAGTTCCTTCTATTGTGTCAAAGAAAGTAATGTCATATACAACAATATGATAAAATTCATACACACAGAGAGTTAATTAGAAGTACTTCAAATTAATCCAAATGGATGTTGTATGTTTACATGCAACTTGTGGCTCTAGCTGCCATAAGTGAAGCTATGCAGAGCATAGTTCTGCACAGTTATCACATTGCAGCCAATACTTCAGGATCCCTTCCCCCCCATTTCTGTGTTTTGTTTCTGTTTCATAATGTGCTTATACGTGTTGCAGGTTTGCTTGCGTCTTGTATGTCATCCTTCGAGGTTTGTTTTAATTGTTATACTATTTGTGTGGTACAGGAATGCAGCAAATGATACACAAATACACCAGTCAGTTGATAAAATATTCAGTTTGGGGAATTTAAGAGTGTGGACTTCAATGTGATTCTTTTAATTTGAAGGGGAAACTGTCTCATCTTTGAATTAGTACATTTGTTCACGCAATTATATTAATGGTGATACGTGCACACCAACTCTTGAGTGTTTAGTGCAGATAGTTGATAATAGATCAAAGCCTGATATACAGTAAAACAGTTTATGTATATACTAATCAATTGCCTCGTATCCAAAATTAGCTGCATGGTGTGAGCAGTCTGGGTGGAGGGCTTTGATAGTGCAAGGACCTGTCAAGTGTGTAGTGCATCTGAATGCATTCTGCATATTACACTCCTTTCTTCATTCCTGATCCACTGCTGCAAACAGACCCTGTTTTGACTACACCTTGCCTCTTAGGAAGTTGTGTTGTGGGACATCTGGAAGCGATGCCTTGGTATGCATGTACAGTATTCTGGAATTTATTGCTTTTTCAACTGAAGCTGCCAAGAGCACTTGCAGCCATTTTACGTCGTTATGACCATTGTCAGTAAAATCAAAGCCTGCAAAAATAATAAAAGCAGAGTTATAAAGCTAGCTTCTGAAAAAAGCACTGGAAAAAAATAGTTTTCCATATGGACTTGGTACCTGGCAAACCATCATGGAGAAGCTGTTCGGAGCTGGAGTGTCATGACAGAGAAAGTCCTGTCTTAACCCACCTTGCTAATGGTAGCAACAGAACGAGAAGGCTTTCATTAGGAAAGTGTTCCATAACTTTTTCTGCTATGACACCCCAACTCTGAATACCCTCCCCAGGATGGGTTGCCTGGGTTCAGGTCCATTGTATTTTAGGCTTCAGATGAAGATGGACCAGGAGCCAATGTAGTACATTCGTACCTTGGAAATCGAATGGAATCCGTTCCGGAAGTCTGTTCAACTTCCAAAACGTTCGGAAACTAAAGCACAGCTTCTGATCGGCTGCAAAAGGCTCCTGCAGCAAATTGGAAGCCGCGGAAGCTTGTGAGATGTTTGGCTTTCAAAAATAGTTTGCAAACTGGAACAGTCACTTCTGGGTTTGCGGCATTCGGGAGCCAAAATGTTCAAGAAGCTGTTCGAAAACCAAGGTACAACTGTACTTTTAAGACTGGTGTTTTGTGTTCTATTCTCTTGCTCCTAGTTAATCATTTTGCTTCTATATTTTGAATGAACTCCAGTTTTTAATTGTCCCAGTTAAATGGAGCTCAATCAAAATATTGCCACCCTTCTCCCGTTACCTCTAGTGTATTATCAAGCAGTTAACGTCAACTACATATTTTCTCAGCTCAATTCATGACAGTTAGAGCTGTATAAGAAATCATTCAGAGCTTTATTGTGCATGCATTCAGTATGGGAAGCGTGCTCTTCTACTATTTCTAAATCAAACTATCTATGCAGCCTGCATCTTTATAGACCTCCCCCCCCCAAAGGTTTCCAAAGATACAGAAGTAAAGCAGAATTCTGTTGTTTAGGGGGAAGAAGCAATTGTTAGTGGGGGAAAAATAATTTCCCACTTGATCACTAGATGCCACTATTGGTCTACACACAAACCACTTTGCAGTTGCAGAATGCTGGTGTTTGTTTGCAGAGATATAATGGAAGCTCCAAGAACATTTTCTATATGAGTTTAATCTATCTCAGGTGTATTCATGTGCTGCTATGAAAAGAGCTGGCTATCTTGAAAATTACCATAAAGTGTTCATTCTTTCGTCTTTAATGGAAACAGTACAGCGAGACATTCCTTTGTATTGGATTCAAATGTGTCGGGGTGAAGGTGTTGGCTTCACTGTTCATGCAAACTTTTTAAAGGAACTCACAAAATATTGGGGGGGATATCATTCCATTGAGGCTGCAGGTTGTTGTGTTGCATGCTAAACACTTGCGAAGTGTGTGTGCTACAATTTTTCAAAAAAAAAAAAAAAATTTAAACTGTTGTAGCTCCTGCAATGTAGTTCCTTAAACAAGAAAGAAGAAACTGTTATTGTTTACCCAAACTCCAAACATGCAATTAAAGTGCCTTCCACACTAGATTATTAGCTCCTAAAACTGAATAGTAAATATCATTTTCACTTTGAGAAACCTGCTTAGGCTGGGTGACGAGCAGTGTTAAGCAGCTCAAGCTGCTTCTAATAATAATTGTAGCAATGGAAAAAGTTTAACTTTCTCTTCCACTACATCCTTCTTCGTTAGACACTGCAGACTTTCTGCCAATTGACAGTACTCTGATGGGCTAAAGTAGATACCCTAAACACATTTAGTGGTGAGTAAGCCCCATTGCCGTAATAGGGCATGTCAAAGTTAATACACATAGGATTGTACTGTCAGTCTACGGTATTGACCTTTAAAACCGTGTAGCGTAATCCTAAGCACGTTTACTCAGCTGTAAGCACAGAGATCAACAAGATTTTAACAATGTAATCCTAACACATGCTTCCTCTGAAGTAAATGCCACTGATTTCTGAGAGTGGGAAACACAGACAGACCTGACTAATGGAATGTGCACTTTTTCAAGATTTGGAATCATAGAATTGCAGAGTTGGAAGGGATCATGGGTCATTCAACCCCCTGCATTTCAATGGGGCTTATTCCCACGTAAGTATGCATAGGATTGCAAACTAAATTATAGAATTGCAGCTATAATCTAAGTCACAAGGACTAATAATACATATAATACTTCATCATTTTATTATATATACTGTCTTATCTGCAATGACACCTGCAACATTTAAGAACATTGAACTATTTTGACACACAAGAACCTAGCATTGGAACAAAACTGATCCATTTATTTCAGTGAGTCTACTCTGCGCAACACTTGGCTGGATACACAACCCAATTAAAAGCATCACCATAGCTCTATAAGAAGCCACCAAATAAAAACCCCTTACAGTTCTGCCTAGAAATGTTTCTGGGCTTGGCCCCCTATGGCTTTCTTAGGTTGGTGTTCCACAGCTGCAAAGCTATTGCCAAGGGCCAGGTAGATGCCGTATTCACTTACCCACCCTGACAGATGGTGTCAGAAATCCTTTCTGGAATGACTGTTCTGACATTAAGGAGCATAGGGTTGCCATATTTCAAAAAGTGAAAATCTGGACACAGTAGCTGTTGAGGTTTTTTTGCGGGGGGTGGGGATGGTAAGCAGGCAAAGTTGTCAAGCTTTTGTTTTTAAAGAGTTTTGCGCTGTGGGTTAAACCATAGAGCCTAGGACTTGCCGATCAGAAGGTCGGCAGTTCGAATCCCCGCGACGGAGTGTGCTTCCGTTGTTCGGTCCCTGCTCCTGCCAACCTAGCAGTTCGAAAGCACATCAAAGTGCAAGTAGATAAATAGGCACCACTCCAGCGGGAAGGTAAACTGTGTTTCCGTGCGCTGCTCTGGTTTGCCAGAAGCGGCTTAGTCATGCTGGCCACATGACCCGGAAGCTGTACGCCGGCTCCCTCGGCCAATAAAGCGAGATGAGCGCCACAACCCCAGAGTTGGCCACGACTGGACTTAATGGTCAGGGGTCCCTTTACCTTTTATAGCCTAGAGGTTAAGATCAGTAGCCCGAACAGGACCAGCGCTAGACCATGGTGGTAAAGGATGCAAGCAATTGAGTGCAGGTTTGGACCTACACAACCTTGCAAAGACCCCTTATAGAAATAGATGAGAACTGGAAAACCGCACACATTTTTTCCGTAGCGCAGAGGCAGTGGGTTTCTACTGCAGAAAAAGCATGAAAGTAGCAAAACAAAGGCCCTGCTTTCCTGCATGTGGTCTGTGTAAGTGAAGATATTTGAGAGAGCACCAGATAGTGAATTCAAGGAAATGGAATTTACTTCCATGTGTAATCATTCTCAGATTCTCTCTCTCGGTCTCCCCGCATCCCAAACCCCCCACCCCAGATGAGTCAGTATCTCTTTTAATGTTCCCGAGTGCCTCGGTGAAACACAGTGTTTATCTAAGTTCCCAATCCAAATCGGGGGGCCTCCCCCGCCAAACCAGAATGGCTCAGCCACGGATGTGATCTGTTCTATAATAAATGAAATGTCGAGCTGACACACTTGCAGAAACCACACCAAGATGAGAAGTGACTTCTCGCCTACTCCACCCAATACAAAA